TCCACGGGATTCCACCACTTGTACGAATCTAACGGTTCTGAAATTCTATAAATTCCCTCCTTCTCTCCCTTTTCACACTTCCATTCCTCTATTTATAAAGATTTAGAGAGAGAGAGAGGGAGAGAAAGATAGTAGTCTAGTGAAAGCAGAAGAGAAAGAAAGGAGAATGATGAGGAAAAAAAATCAAGATTTTGGTAAGGAATCTAGTATTTCTTTTGACGTCTTAAGAAGTATTTTTAGATAAGCTAATTTAATATGATTGTGATTTTGTCTATTTTGTATGTCTCTGTGTTCAAATGAGTCGCATTGTTGTTATTTTTAAATATTCTATGTGAATTGCAGACACTTGATGAATTTGCATGTAATAAATATGATATGTAATCGGTAAAAGTAAAAAATATAAAAGAAAAGAAAACAAAAAGAATGGTGGAATGAAGCCTGTATGGTCCGAAGTGTATCTATATTGACATGTATATTGCATAAGTGTCTCATTAGACTTTTTATCTCTGAGGGATATCTGTTCCCCTTACCCTTCGAGGTATCTGTTTTCCCCTTCCCCTATCTGGTCTGGAAAGATGTAAAAGGACCACTCCCAATGGATGACGACGTGGCCTCTAATGAGAGTGGTGTCACACTATCTGTAGAAGTCACCCGTTGCTAAGTAATGTCATGACTATAGATGTCTGTTATGGCCACTATGGTTGGTACGACTGTGATCATAAATCATACCATTGTTTGGCCAGCCGAAAATGTGTCTGAGCAAATTACCAAATCTGTATATGATCTGGTCATTACATTTGGATAGCTAGAATTCTGTATATGCCCTTAGAGATGGAAGTTGTAACGACTTCACGAAGTATGATACGAAAATATGAGCATTTCATGATTTATTTAGTTTTCTCTATTATCTAGCATGATGTATGTTTGACTGTCTATATTAACGTATCATTTTCTTAACAAATAAATGGTTCTCTATAATGTGAGATAGGTAAGCGAGGAAGTTAAATGGTAAGATGAAATAACTAACGTTTGAAATCTTACGATGTTAATTTAATACTATTTTTCTTCTTGAGCATATGGAACTCACTCTTTCTATGTTTCCCTTCCCCTAAATGAGGAAAAAAGTGAGAAACCGCAAGCTGACCTACCCTTCGAAGTCTATGATGATCTCGTGAATTCACAAATCTGAGTG